TTATCTCGGGAAGGGCGACACTAAAAAAGCACGCAAAATATCGTATTATTTTTATTTAATTAAAACGCTTTTATAAAAAAAAATTTTTTCACGTAACGTATAAAACTAAGTATTAGCTACTTATTAAACAAGTTCCTACGTGATTTAATTAGTAATAGCTTTTAAAATCCCGTATTTCGAGAAAAGCGATAACAAAAAACTTAACGTTAAATATATTATCTATTAGCTGAGTAGAAAATAATAAGCTTTAAATATTCTTTTTATAATTATTATTGCTTTATTGAATAAGAAAAGAATCTTAAAAAGTTTTCGTTATTTAAAAAATATCACGTGATAATATAAAAGCGCTAAATAATTTTTAAAATCGAAAATATTTTTTCGAAAAAAAAAATTTAATTAAGAAAAAAAAGGTCACGTGATAATGCTAGCGCCTCGGCGTGACTTTAAATAGTATTAAAAGCGTCGCCCCGATACAAAGCGATTTTTTTTTTGATTTTTTACGCGCAAAATAAAATCATCTCGGGAAGGGCGAACCTGCGTTCGCCCTTCCCGAGGTGGATGTACTGTTAGGCTACCAAGCTACTAAAGTGCTCTGACTACTTATATTGCAGATAGCTTTCTAGAAAATCAATTAGCTTACCTAGCAACCTTTTACTACTTCTTAATATCCTACTTTCAAAACCTAGTTATTAAGACAAGATGGATGGAAAATGCTACTTGCACGCGCAAGGGCTGCGAGGTTACGATCAATCACGGTTTCATTCGTCGTCATCCTTCTCATTCTTATACTCACTCTCCCCTAGCCAACTATCAAGGAAATGAATTCGTATTCATCGGCACCGTAGCACCCACCTGTGTTGGTTTCGCCACGTTCGGCGGCACCGTCCCCAGAACACCATGATGCCAACCGGCCTCCGTCGTCATCTTCGGGCCCAACGGCACCAACTTGGGTCTCACGTAACTCCAACCCGTACAGTTCTTCCACGCCCTGCCACCCTCCTTGACCAACTCGTGCGGAACCTGGATGAACGGGTTATAGTTCTTGAACGGCGAAAGGACGAAGCCGGTGCAGGCTCGGGGCCACGGACAGGAAAAGGCCCACGCTTCGCGGGGGACGATATTGAAGTCGTCCCATGAGATTGACCTCGGCTCGGCAGGGGCTTGGTACTGCACGCTGGAGACGGACTGGGGCGCCATGGTGAGTGTTACGTCCGTCAAGGTCGGACCACACGGCGCAGTGCGGACGGTGAGTCCCTGGCCCGCTGAGCGGTAGTAGGCCGTCACGGAAGGATAGACGAGGTACACACTAGGCGAAGTGAAGGTTTCGCCGTGGAAGACAACTGTGTTCGGATGGCCTGGCATCGTTGGCTTCGGCGTGAGGGTGGTGCCGTTCTGAGCGCAGAAGTCGCCGGAGACGGTTGTCACGGGCCAGTAGTACATGGTGCCGGTGTAATCGGCGCCGACGGTGCATTCGGCACGATCAGGCTTCACAGGGCAGTCCCATTCGGGTTGGACGCAAGGTGGGACGCGGAATTGGACGATGTCGTCCCAGGTTGTGGGGTAGTCGCTTGCGGTAACTGCTGCGGAGGTACTGGAGCTCCATGATGACCAGAGCTGGCTACATTTATTGCTATCTCTGGAGTAGGTGCATGTCGGGACGATGTTGGTAGTGTGGTACCGCTCGGGGATCCATGTGGTATAGTTGAAGTACGTGGAATAGCTCGTTGCTAAAGTGGTTGTTGGTGCCCGAGAGACCTCTCTTGGGCGTCCATCACAGAGTGTTGTATATTGCATGTTGTCATAGTTGACAGTCTCTTGGTTGAAATATGTTTCGATGTATGTGGAAAGAACTTCTGTTGTCCCTGGATACTGAGATATCATCTGGGTAGCGTACGAGTTCGACCGATAGGAGCTCCATGAGTTCCAACAGGCATCCGGAGTCGCTCTTCTGACAACTGGCGGAGGGGTTATTCCTGGTGGAGCTGGCACGGCGCAACTCGACAGCACTGGCAGCAAAAGGAAGAGCAGCATGCTCAACAACGATGTAGTAAGGGTATGGTCGAACATGATGTTGAACACGCAACGTAGACGCTATAAAGCTCGTTCTTCTAACCAGAAGATACTGAGTACATATATACTCTTCGGACCAAAGGTCTCCGTAGTATAGTGATCCGGGCTGAATACATCTCAAGCGTCGGAACATATCATGCAATGCGATATTAGGAAGTGCATGCAAGAAAAAAGATCTGTTCGGGTGGCGTGACGACGCCATACAAGGCAGTCATCCCCAGACATAGAAATAGAACGGAACAAAAACAAGAAACAAACATCTCGTAGGAGAAGGGTGCCATATCGGAGGGTTCCCTCACTCGTATTGACGCAGCCTTGTACATGGTAATATTGGTGGCGTAACTATATTATTGAGCATGACACGTCGTAAATGCGGGAGAGAGAATTGAACTTGCGTGAAGAATGTCCGACTACCAGATGGTTAAAGATGGCTGCCAACCAGAGCCCAAAGTCGTGCATTCAGGGCTGAAAGATGTGCAGGTGCCTAGAGACAATACCACCGTCTCGGGTGCCACTATCACATAAAGACGGTATCTACCATTTACGGCGATTCGGTAAGCAGGAGTTGTTTATCAAACGTGCCTTTATTGTGACGACCTCAATGAGGATATCAAAGAAATACAGTTTAATAGGATTGATGTAAGCCGAGGCTCTGGTTTCAGATATTCTTTCTCTATCTCGTTTCCACGCTTAGTTTTCTCCCTGTCTATCGGGTTGTGTTGTCCCTGTCTATCGGTTTCTATTGATCTTCGAATCCCATCGCGCTCGGCATATCTATCCTCGATGCCTGGAGGCGTATTATCTATCTACCACTAAAGGAGGCGTTGAGTCCCTCCCACTATCCCTCAGAATCATACAGCACAAACCACCACTCAATCTCAACCCCAGCTGCGGCTTCACCCGTTACTTCCTCTGCCGCGTAATTTCAAAGGCCCTCAGCAGCCCCTCCACCGTCGTGCTCACGTTCTCTACCACAACCGGCATCCGTCCCCAGGTCCCCTCCTTCATGACGGCTACCAGCGCCAGGTACTTGTTCACTTCCCTCAGCAGCACCGGCCTCTTCCCATCCGTCAGCACGATCGTGCTCTCGGCTTCCTTGCACGCGACCTGGTCCTCCAGCTTCTTATTCCATGGCTCGCCCTCGAGTGCGGAGATGTAGGGCGCCGGCCGGTCCCACCCGTAAATCTCAGAAATGTCGACGATAACATCGATGTAGTCAGAGCAGATCTCGTAGGAGGGCATGTCCATGGGGGAGGAGTCGGTGGCGATGTAGATCTTGCTCAGGACGTCGAAGAGGTAGGCCTTCTCGAAGCCGGAGGCGCGGCAGAGGTTGTTGAGGAGCGCTTCCAGGGTGGGCAAGTGCGGGATGAGTTTTTGGATGACCTTCGAGAAGGCTTCGAAGATGGAGTGGTTGTAGATACTCGTGAGGTGGAAGTTGATCGGCGCGTTTTCCACCCCGCGATCAGACAACTCGTCCTGGATTCTCATGGTGATGTCTCGTTGGATATCCAGTTTGTAGTCTTCGGAGAGGCCATCAACTTTGTGAATGAAGACTTCGATGTTGACGTTTGGGTAATGCGGTTGCAGGCTGAGGATGGTGGCGTTCAGGCGCGTGATGGCTTCGAGGTAGTCGTCTTGCGCGTCGATGACCCAGATCAGGGCACCGATCTCGCCGAAGATAGCATCGACATCGAACGAGTCGTCGAGGAAGTCGACCTGGCCGGGGAAGTCCCAAACCTGGAAGTCCATGAAGGAGCTGGGGCACGTGTTTCAGTTGCGAACTGAGCGAGAAGAGAGGGGGGAACGTACTGCATGGAGTCTTTCTGGATACGAGCCGTCGACTCGAGAAATAGGGTTTCGTTGGGTGGCATCTTGTGGAAGACCACGCTTGAGATGGAAGATTTGCCACTCCTGCCCATGGTCAGCGATCACCGCGCTCACCAATCTCAGCAAACGATGAGATCGAGTACCAACCTTCTCTGGCCCATCAATAGCAGCCTCGGTTTTCCCTTCGCAGCAGGACCGGGCGCGGGGGCTGGCGCTGAAGCCGCATTGTTCTTTTGCGCGGTAGATCGATTCTGCTCGTAGATACGTTCAAGATTTAGCTGGGCTGGACTGATATGCCTGACGGGACCTTGACGCGCAGGACCGTTGTATTTGCCATCCAGCTTGGTCCTGCGCCGTCCGTTGTGAAGAATTGCAGGTGTGAGCGCAGGCATGATGGATAACAAACAGTGAAAATAAAAAAGACTATTGAAATGAAGATGAATCAGACGAAAGCCTGCATATTGACAGCCGCGAAGTGGGTGGATAGCAACAATGTTGGTGTTGGTGTTGATGCTGTTGCGTGGCAAAGAGAACCAAAGCCGAACTCGTCTGAACTGAAGCGAGACGCGAAAGACGCGAGATTTGGCCACATCGCTTGTGATAATCGCAGCGGAGATTCGGATTACTCCCTTTGTCTTGTTTGCGCAGAATTTAGAGAGAGAGAGAGAGAGAGAGAGAGAGAGAGAGAGCAGCTACCAGATATCAAAAGGGGTCCACGGGACTCGGCAGCAGAGGCAACGAAGCAGGATCTCGGTACAGGGACAGCAACGGGAACATGCAGAACCCCTAGCCAAGCTTTTCTCATATCAGACGAGGTATGTACATTGACTTACTGACTGGTGATTTTACCACCAAACAGGATAGGCTGAGGCAGACAGCGAACAAGCATGAAATGCAAAGTTATCATAGCTGACCTGATCTGATCTGAGTCAGAAAGCAATGGTTGGCTCTTTTCGCTCTTGATCCTATTCAGTACTACCGAACTCAACCAAGAGAAGGAGGGCTAAGGGATGCCGTGTACCTGCTCTCGCTTTTCAGCTATAGTAGCCAGCCAGGTAGTCGGTCGGTTGGTTGGTCCTCCAAACCAGTGCACGGCAGAGAAAGATAGAAGAGGGTGGAGAGGAAAAGATCATGACGATGAAGATGATGAAGAAGAAGAAGAAAACAAGAGAAGGGAAAAAGATTGGAGATGGAGCAGAAAGACGGAATGACAACGCAGCATGACCGCGGAAGCAAGATCACGTACATACCTCCATCTGTGCGACGACGCAAGGAGGTGACGATGGTCACGGTGACGGCGACGATGCCGATGTCTCGGGTAGTGAGTGAGCTTCGGATCCGATCGGGCCGAGATGAGATGGGATGGGATGGGATCGGGCTCTGGAGGGCGGGAGGTGAGGAGAGGTGAAGCTATTCCGGTCCGCCGGTGATTCAGTCAGTCAATCGGTCGCTCGGTCGCTCGGTCGCTCGCTCGATCTCTCTCCTGCTGTTTCTTGTCAACAGATAGAGGAATAGACAGATAGATGGATAAATACCCAGGGCAAGAGATAAGATGGGGTGAGATGGGATGAGATGAGCTCTGCTGCTCTTTTATATTGCCTATTCACTCATCTCGTCAACATCAACGAATGGTACTCAACTGATTCCCCATCCATCTATACACAAGGTGACAGATCACATTACTTACATACCTGCTATCGCACGCAGCCTTGTCTCATGAAGGCCGAAGGGGGGTTTTGCTTTTCCCCTAATTCCACGTCGCAACCCGCCCAATCTTTTCTGCAATTCCTTTGATACGTGATGGTGGTGGTGGTGGTGGTGGTGATCTCTGGCGAGAGTCGAATGGTGATGATTTGATATGATCTTAGAAGTTGGATTTTGGATGTTTTGGTGTTCTCCTTCACTTCCACCCACTCCTTCCACCGCGCTTGCTCCGCCAAAAGTAAAAGGAGCTTGGCGAGCGGGGCGGAGACGGGGACCGCCTGGGTACCTGGTACGAAATTCAACGACTCTTTGTTTACTTACCTACTTTATTGATATACATATATATGTGTATGTATGTATGTATGTATGTATGTATGTATGTATATATAAATACAAATATCTCACGCACGCTCACCTTAAATCTCACCTCCATATAAATCAACAAAATTACTACTATGTGCAAGTTTATCCCTCTTGATTCTCTCTCGTTCCCTCTCCTCTCCCATCTCTTCTTCCTCCCCCTCCCCTCCCTCCCCCGGACCGCTTCTCCGTGACCGACACACAGGATACAGATACAGATACAGGTCACCCAGACACAGTGTAACCGCCGTCCGACATGAGAGTCGATCTCCGTGGCACAAGATATCTACCCTCGACAAACCGGCAGGCCCCCATGTTCCAGATGCACTTTCGCTCGTGCCCTCTTCTGTGGCACCCATGCGGTGCGGTGCTCTCCTGTGCTCTGCTGACCGTCGTGAGACCTACTTCGTATATATATATATATATATATACGTACACACATATCACCAGAGCGAGAGACACGCACCGTGTCATGGAAGCAAGCAGGTTGGGGCATTTTGTCAAAAAAGTATTCGGAATCTACCGATATCATTGACTACTGGCACTGCCGTGTGGAACATGCTACGGGCCATGTTCAAACCCACTCGATATGCATGAGTGAGTAGGCATACTCGCTCCAAACTCCTCGCTGGTGAGCGTCAGAAAGACCCGTTAACCCAATACACCCAGAAGAACACTGTCCAACCCATCACCGAATCCCATCAGACCCCATGTCCCCGCATCAGGGGTGCCCATCATCTATCCGTACATGCATGCCATACCTTCCCCCCAGGTCTCGCGAGCCCCCAGATTGCCCCCCATCCATTTTGTTCCCGTACCCGGCCCCATCCAGAATCACGCCTTCCCGAACATCGTAGCAATAAAACTCTTCCGTCGACTCATCTTCCGCACCTTCTCCGCCTTGATATCCGACTCCCTCGTCACCGCCGGAATGGAGGGCAGTGGTGGCGTCTCGTTGCTGCTGTACGTAGAGGTACTCAGTATGGACTCTTCGTGGGTCGGCAACGGCCCCATCCTCATCCCCTGCAGACTCCTCATGCTGTGCCTCTTGCGACTCTTGCTTGTCCCCCTGCTCAGACTCCTTTGCACACTGGCAGAGCTATCCGTCGTCTCCTTCTCCAGTTCCTCGATCTCGCCTGCCACGGTTTTGCCGTCGTTCGCGAGGTTCTCTTCGGCGACGGCGACGAACTTGATGACGCCTCGCCGCGGCCCCACTCCGAGAGATTCTTCCATGTGGGCGGCGAGGAGGGCGGCATTACGCTTGTTCGTCACGGGCTGTAGTTGGCAAGGCAGGGCGGTGATGGTCAGGTTGTAGGCGGGATCGAAGTTTCCCCCAAAGAGCATGCAGTGGGAGTGGATCAGGGAGACGACGATGGAATTCTCGGGGCGCTGGTATCGGTTCGAGAGGTAGTAGGAGAGGTCCGTGATGAAGGAGTACTCGTCGTGGACCTGCCCACCATGCACATCAGTACCCGCATGCTTGCTCGTGGGCGTGGGGTTGGTGGGGTTGGGGAAATAGCTACTATGACATTGGTCCTGACATCTGCAACGATCATGGACTCCTTTGTGACTCTCTCTCTGGCCGCCGAGTTTGATCGGCATGCAAAGACCTCCCCAAAGTACTGGCTCCTCTTCTGCGCCAACTGCTTCCGCTCGGGTGTCTGGAGGTCGGCGAGGAAGGCCTCGTCGCCGGGCGCTCCACGCTCGAGGTGTCTGGTAATCCTGCGCTCCTCCCTCGTTGTCGCACTGAGCGGGCTTCCTCTGGGGCTCGCGTGGCGCATCGCCCTGTTGTTGGTGCCGCTCTCTGCCGGAGAAGGCGTGAGAGGTATCACAGATCCCGAGCTCACTCTCCGTCGATCGTGAAACAGGCCGTCGTCGTCCGTGACGTCGTATCGTTGCGAATCTGCATCAATGGTTCGGAGCGAGGCTGGCATTTCCCTCCGGCGACTCGCGACCAGGCCGGTGAAGGGAGAAGGGTGGAAGAGTAGAAGTGCGAGAGAGAAATTGCGAGAAGAGGTCGGTCGGTCGAGAGAACAAACACCAAGTACTTGTACTTCTCGAGTGAACTGAGCTGCGGTCGGTAGGTAGCACAGCGGGAATGAATCGAGGCAGAGATCAACAGAACTATCTCGTTGCTTTGATTTGATTTGGTCGAGCAGCCGTTGGAAGGATGAATATGGTGTGACGGGTCTTTCCTGTATGCTGTCTGTATGCTGTCTGTATCCTGTCTGTATCCTGAAGTGAAGGGAATAAATGAAGCGACGGGATGGGGCAGCGCGTAGAGTGGGAAAGGGGGGAGAGAGTTGTAAAAGTAGAGAAGAGCAGAGGAGTGGAGAGGATGGTGTAACCACGATGCTTCCCTCTTTACATAGGTAGCGGTAGGTAGCGGTAAGTCCTCTTCACCGATGTACGTAGTAGTACTTACCTACGAGCGCCTAGGTAGGAAAGTAGTACCTACCAGCAGTACCGGTACCTGTAGGTAGGTACCGGTAGGTACTACAATCCACTTACCTTCCTATCTCTGTCCAAGTGCGCCAGGTAAAAGTCCGGGCGTCGCAGGAAGCCGCGACTCCATGCGCGCACAGGCATTGGCATCATCGATACTGATAGATACTGATAGGGACCGTAGGTACTGGTACGGTAGGGTACTCACAATACCATGCCAGGACCAGTACCGAGGTGGGAGTTGGAGATGGCATAGCGCACATACCGGTATCTATGCGATGCAGGACGGTGGCATCGTGGCCGCAACGCTGAACTGCGACCAGAGGCAGAGGATATGAGGACGATATGCGGAAGATGCTGATGGTCCACAGGCAGTGAGCCAGGCGAGCAAGCAGCCATCGGAAAGCGATATGGGTGCATCCCGCTACTTGACACTACAGTACTACCTATACGTACGATACGTACGATACGTACGATACGTCCGATACGTACTATACGGTACGTCCTACATATACTACCTACGCGTACGCGTACGCCACCTACGGAGTGTCTAGAGTTTGGCAGAAACAAGAGCTGACTAATGCAGATCCACAACTATCTTTTGGAAGCGCGGGGAGATGGCTTTTTTCGACGTCCTCCTTACGGAAACATCTGCAAGCGGACCGACAGATGATTCAATCTTGATCGCAGACTGCAGTGCCGCACCGACTTGGAGAGCTGCGAGAGACGAGAGTCGAGAGTCGAGACGACACGAAACCAACACATCCTACACATTAATCCCCTCCGTAAACAAGAGTCCTCCGCTCCTCAAGGGGTCTGAGCATCAAAGGGTCTGAGCACGACGATCACAGGCTGAGTTTTCACCCCCACTAAGTAGTACTATAGGTAGGTACCATTAGAATTGGATTCCACATCAGTCAAACCGAAACCGGAGGTGTCTGTTTATTATGGCCCATCCTTAGATCTGCCGCTGCTCAAGGAGGCAAAGACCATGGAGATTCTTGAATCTTCATCTTCCTCTCTCATCTCTGTCTTGCAAGCTGCGTGCTCTACCCATGAAACGAGTGGGGGGGAGGCAAAGCACCAACTGTCGTACGGAGTCATCAAAGTCATGTCCCCACCGCACGGGTATATCATCTCATCTCCATCCATTCCGTCACGCCGAGAGATCCAAAGGAGAAAAGGAGAAAAGGAGAAAAGGAGAAAAGTGCTGCGCGCTCAAGTAACAATCCAAGGTCCCCTCTCGTCTACGCCCTGCCATCTAGACACTTCTATTTCAAAACTGCTTTCCGTATAGCACCAGATTCCATATCTTGGCGAGAACGTTGGCTACTAATCCCATCATCGCGAGAACGATGAAGATATTGCCGATTTCCCACCAGTGCGCGAGCTTGACTTCTGTCTCGATGTAGTTGCCTTGATCGGTGCCAGATGACACCCCTTGTATTGCGGACGGATCGCCGGGAAAGCGGCCGCTGCTTAAGTATTGCTCGATGAAGCTGTCTTTCTCGTACCAGCGCTCTCGCATCCAGAGCTCGAATCTGTCGGGGTCGTCGAGGGGCATATCTTCAATGGCGAAGCGGCGCCAGTACATATTTACGGATGGCGGCGGTCGTCCTTGAAGGTACATGGAGCGGAGTGTGAAGAGGTCTTGGCCGAATTCCCCTCGTCTGTGTCTATCAGCGGAGGTTACAGGAATGGATGGATATGGACAAAACTTACGGAACGCCCTCATAGGCCAGGGTACAGTCGTAAACATAGTCAACTGTGCCCTTCAGCTCATTCAAGCAGAAAAAGGAGCCAGTGCTTCGAGGAAGAAGGACATGCTCCATATCCTTGATTCCCTGCTTCTTCGCCCAGGCAGCACTCTTCGCTCTCCCGTTATCACTTGCGTTCGTGCCTTCCGGGAAAAGAAGCAGCCACATAGGGTCGAGTCCGGAAGTCCCGGATAATGGTCCAGCATGTCTCCCCTTCAATTTTTGTAATCGGTATGCCAACCGAGGCTGGTCGGTCGACATCTTCCGTGACATAAACACGAAGCCGTAGAAGCGCATGCCCCAGCCAATGATTGGGACATGCTTCAGGGACTCCTTCAATATGATGTAGATGTGGCCGTGCAAGCGCGGCCTGTTCGTGTAGGCAATCCACCACAGGTAGAGCCAGTCCGAGTAGATCTGCAGATGTCAGTTAGTAGTGCAGCGGCCTGTATCTCCCAGGCTATATTCGGCATACCTGATGGTTAGCTATCATGACTATCCGCTCCGGGAAATGGCATTCCACTCTCCCATCCGCAGTCCTTTTCAACTGCCCTGCCACCGACGCATCCCCGCTGATCCGCACCACAGTCGGCGCCCACCAGCTCGTCAAGGTCGTCACGAAGATGCCGAAGGACTGTTTCGTCAAAGCCATGTAGGCATAGTAAAAGTCCCTATTGATCCAGTAGAGCGGCGCGCCGAGGAGTTGCGTCGCAACAATGCTGCGCTTGTCAGCTCCTATTCCGACACAACAGAGAAGTCGGCCGGCTTACGTGCAGCACGACGAGAAGAAGTAGAACACTGCGACCAAGAGCCGTAGAATCTGCACCAACCCGTGGTGCTTGATCTCCCCTCCTGGGTGTCCCAACTCGACCTTCGCCTTCTCGGTTGTGGTTGTGGTTGTGGTCATCGCCGCCGACCTCGTCGCCGTATTCCGCTGCCTCGACTCCGCCGCCATGGTTGCCAGCAGTCCCGTCTCTTCGCAGATACAGTCGTCCGCTCGTATTTTGATGCGTGTCTCCTTGAGATATCAAGTCCAGTCTAGTCCAGCCAGTCCAGGTCGAGTGTCGTCTGCGGTCCCGACAGTTCCGTGCCACTGGCTATGTTAGCTTCATCGAATGACTCGACGCAATGCGCCGGGAATATGCATACGGGGCTTTCAATCTGAAATATTCATCTCGAAATGGTATGAAATTCGTATGGTCGTCGTGGTAAAGATTCAGAAATTTGACTTGTTTGCTTACGGACTTCCATTCATTCGTAGGACTTTACATCTCGATTTGATCCTCGTCGAAAGCTTATCTTATCGTGAGCCTGGCCGAACGTCCCATCGCGTGGAGCGACGACGCGACCGAGAAAGGGCGTGATTCGACATCATGATTTACGGAACACGAATCAACAATAAACTCGGACAGCTTTATTGTCTCAAATAAAGGAAGTCTTTGGGACCATTGTTGTTGTAACAATGCGCCAAGAACCCCCAAACCACGACCCTCATTTTCCTCCTCTTTCTGTCCTCACCAACACCAAAACCAATACATCACGCGACGAAAGATGATCCCGAGGAGGCTACCGCGGTGTAAAAATGTATGGAAGAGGTATTTCAGCAGAACGCCAGCACAAAGAGAGATCCTCGATGCCGATAGTCTCCCAGATAGAATTATCCCCAGATATCAAGGTAAATCAATAACATACGTTTCCTGTTCAACTCCAAGCTTCCCTGACGATGAACAGCAACTCCCAACAGCGACCTCCTCTCCCTAATATGGCCGTCGCCCCCTCGAAACGTCCTTGTCATCAAGAAGAAGGAAGCTCCCTTAGCAACAGCCTCTCTCCTCGAATACGCAAAACACATCAACTCCAACTACGACCATGTCTCTTTCATCCTCGAGCCAGCAGTCGCGGCACAGCTGCACGAAAAACTCCCGTTCCCAGTCTTCACGACCAGCACTCCGGGAGATCTTGTCCAAAAGGTGGACATGACAACAACCCTTGGTGGAGACGGCACAATCTTACACGCTTCCTCGCTCTTCAGTACAGAACTCCATGTTCCCCCTATCTTGTCGTTTAGTATGGGCACGTTGGGGTTCCTGGGCGAGTGGAAATTCTCTGAGTACAAGAGGGCGTTCAGGGAAGTCTACATGTCAGGCGCAGGTACCGGATCCCCCCTCTTGCAAGACCAGAAACACCCGCATCTCGAAGGTGTCACCCCTTTCGCCGGGGATGGCGTGACCGGCTGGTCGAGTGTGAGAGGGAAATCCATGGGCCCATCACGCAGCTCTAAAGTACTCCTGCGGAACCGTTTGAAGGTTGGTGTCTTCGACGCAAATGGAGACAGGGTGCTCGAAGAAGATAGCGCAGTAAGTGCAGTGGGAGATGTACACGCCATGAACGAAGTCATCATCCACCGAGGAAAAGAAGCGCATCTGGCCATCATCGAAGTCTTTGTCGGGGGACGGTTCCTGACAGAAGCTGTGGCGGATGGGATGATCATTTCTACCCCTACAGGGAGCACGGCGTATAGCTTGAGTTCTGGGGGGAGCATCATCCACCCGCTAGTTAGCAGTCTCATGTTGACGCCAATTTGTCCGCGGAGTCTGTCATTCAGACCGTTGGTTCTTCCCGCTAATACCCCGATCACGCTGCGGCTCAGTGAGAAGAATCGGGGTAGGGAGCTGGAAGTCAGCATTGACGGCAGAAGACGGAGTATTGGCGTAGGCGTGGGCATGGAAATTAGAGTCAACGGCGAAGATATCGTGAAAGGAAAGGAATGGGTTGGCGGCGTCCCCTGTGTGATGCGAGGTGCCAAGAGCGGTAACGAAGATGACGATGGCTGGGTAGGAGGTTTGAACGGGCTGTTGAAGTTCAATTATCCGTTTGGGGGCGAAGAGTAGGTGTATATTCCCCGGAAACTATGATGAAGCACGGAAGATGTTGGAGGGCAATGAATGTATCATGCTGTAAGATGCTAACGCAGCAACGGCTTACTGAGCAGCAGATGACTTGAGAATACGACCCTCCTCCTCTACCTGATCCGCAGTCTCTCTTCTATCACCTCCCATCTCCCGTCACTCCGTCTTCTCTCTTGCCTCTTCTCCCACCTGCAAATCCAACCTCACGACCCCGTCCCCTTTGGTTTCGCCTTTTCCCGCACTTCGTCCCGCCGCCTCCAAACCCACCACTGCCCGTCCCTTCTTCGCTTCCAGGCCCAGCCAAGCTCCCTCGTCTTCTCCCTCTCCTTTCCTCTCTCCTTCTTCATCGTCCCTCTCTTTTTCTCTCTCCTTCTTCTCCTTCTTCACCCTCCCTCTCAGCTTCTTCCTCCACTCGCTCTCCCCTTGCATCTCCACCTCGACCAAGCTGAGCTCACTCAAAACACTGCTCGTCCTCCTCAGCCCGGCGGCTCCCTGTGCCTCAGCCACCCCTTTCGTCCCTTCTCCCTCCCCCGTCTGAAATGGGCACTTTCTCTTCGAGCATTGCGCTTCCGAACGCACCATGATGCAGGAGATGAGATGCCCGATGTTGAACCTGTATCTGCAATACCTCGGCTTGGGTCTCGTGTGATGCCCGCAGGGCGCATGCGTCGTTATCTGCTGGGTGCACATCGCCGCTCGTCACCCTTCTTCCTACCGTACATGTGTGTGATGATTCGATATTTGTTGAAGGAGTCATCTCTTTTTCTGTTCTGGACGAGAAATCGTTTGCTTAAGCTGGGACGAGGAGTGCGCTCAGTGTTCCGTAGTTGAACTTACGTCTTGACCTGATGCCCGAAGCTTAGCTGATAGACGGATGTATTTCGACTCGTGCACGCCCGTATGGCCGTAGGCGTAGGGAATCTGGCTGTGTGATGGAGGCCTTGGAGTCAAGACGTCAAATTCAAGCTCAAAATGATGAACCCGACACAGTCAGTCAGTCAGTCAGTCAGCTTGCAAAAGAAGCCGAAAATAGAAAGTGTCACGTCAAACGAGGTACAGAGACGCGTCAATTTTCCCACGCCCTTACCATATCCGGAACCGAAGGTAACTTTGTGACTTTTCGTGCCGGCCGTGGTAGGGGGCTCGGGCAAGCATTCTTTGTTAAAAAAATATATCCAATTTTTTAAGACACCTGGCTCTCGCTTCAGTCGCCCCTTTTTCCCTTCGACCTGTCTCGGCTCCTGTTTGTTATTTTCTATTCTCGCTTAACTTAACCTCTTGGACGACTAGAGAAGCACACACGGGGGGGGGAGCTTGTATGTAAATTTGTAAAGCAGGGTTTGGAGTTAGGAAGAGGAAGAGGAAGAAGAAGAGGAGGAGGAGGAAAGGGAAAAGAATGAAAAAAAATCGATCAGGTGGGATGATGATGATGATGATTCAAGATTGATTTACGAGTGTCATGTCAGTCACGCAACTCACGCAACTCACGCAACACATACAGTGTTTGCAGCTTGAACGGGGTCAGGAAATCGAGATGTGGGTGTGTGTGTGTGTGTGAATGATGATGATGTATGTGGACGACATTCGGTCGCTAAATAAGTAAGTAGGTAGGGCAATGGGGGGAAGAGAGGGGGCTTTGCGGCGATTCCGAGTAATTTTGGGTGAGGAAGGGGGTGGGTGATTCACGACTCTCCTCTTCCAGCACCACAATCAAGCACCACCCAGTCAAGCACCACGGTCAAGCACACGCTTCTTCCACTTCAATCGCCCTCGAAAAAGTTTATTAACCCTCCTCTCCCCCCTTCTCACTTCCGATGACCCATCAAACTCTTAGAATCTTTTCCTCTCTTGGCCCTCTCAGCCCCAAGAAACAGCCAGGCCTGACCAGCACTACCAGCACCTGGAACGATAACCCCCTACCAAACAAAACGAAGCCTCAGCTAGCAAGCAAGATGTGCTATCAGACCAAAGTCAGCTACATCTGCCGCCACTCGCTCCGAGCGCCCCTGGTGCTCTGCTACAGGTGTTATCCGCACACCATCTCCAAGACCCTTGTCAACCACCCAACACTCTGCCCATCCTGCTCGAACCTCAGCAGCGGGATCCTCTCGAACGCATATGTCTCGCAACTCTTCTACCACCCGCAGGTCATCTACACCCCACAGACCCTGCCCCACTTCTCCTATGTCCCAGCCGTCAGCTACTACCCCGCCCAACATCCACAGCAGACGCGGTACGCCGCAGCTCCACAGCCGACTCCCGGCCCAGGCTCAAACGGAGCGCCACTCCCCGTGTCCGCGGCCGCGACGAGTGAGGATAGGATGGAGCTCGTAGGGGGTAGGTGGCAGGTGGTGACGCACTACACGTTCCCGGCCGGCACATCGCCGCATGCGCCCCAACAGCCGGCGTCTCAGGAACCGCCTTCCCCGCCTCCCCCGCCTCCTCCGCCTCCTCCGCCGCCGCCGGGAGCGGACAGGGGGTGGAATCCAGTGCACGGGATGGACACTGGTGCGTTACCGCCGGGCTGGGCGCCGGGGGGTCCGACATCGAGATCGAGTAATGTACCGTATCCAAGAAGCTGGTGGAGTGTTTGAGCTAACTACTTGTAGGGCAGTAACTCAAATACCGGCCCTGCGCCGGCTCGGAACGATGGGGATGGAGGTGGGAGGTCAAGCTCTGCGAGCGGTGCTGTTTCGGGATCAAATAATGGATGGGGCAGTGCATCGGCTACTGGATCAGTTACTGCGTCTTTGGAGCCGACGGGAACTGGTAGCGTGGCTGCGACTGTAGGAAATAATAATGTCGCTGCTGAAAACGCCGGCGCGGGATCCTTGGTATCGATGGCGAGTTCAACGCTTAACGCGCTGACGGAGGCGAACACAACTGCTAACACGGGGAGGGCCGCGAGGCGGAGTAGTGTTTGACGAGCGGTTTCCAGAGTGTGTATATGAGGAAGCAATGGAGGGGGGGGGGGGGAGGGGTGAGAAGAGTGGTGTGTGGTATTGGTGCTTCGGGCGTTGAGCTACTTAGTCAAGAAACTGGCAGGAAACTTGGGTTATGTGCATACATGGATCTTCCGAACAATCACCGTCACCTCCTGGATGGACATTAACGATGCGTAGATATATGATGAATGGAATAAATCACCGTTATCGCGTGTTATATGCTCTGTGGACTCTCCTGTCTGTTTATATGCATTAACCATATCTCATATGGATTCATCGGCCAGCGGAAAAGGACACCACGGCCCATTTTCCACTCCAAGCCCACTCACGCTTTCCGCTCTCGCCACCCCCTCCCTCCATTGCTCTCAGCTCCTCGTCTTGGCCTGGCTTGAGACCGACCACGACGTCGGCCTTGCATGTCCTCAAAGCAAGAACATTGACGCCGGATCCGGGGCCGAGAGGACCGATGGCTTCTGTGAATGGTGTGGTGGGATCCCACATGCCCTGTGATGTGTGTGTCAGTCACGTTTCCTGTAAGTTTGGCGGGAGGGTTTGCTTGCATCTCCAGTCAACTTTCTGTAATTTAGATCTCCCTTGAAAATAACAAGCTCGCTTTCCTTTAGATCCGCGTGAAGTCTCGGAGCGGTGCCTGGCAATCTCCAGAAGCTGCCTCCTTCAGTCCAGAACCGGTTTGAGCGAAGCGTCAGTTGTCCTTCAGCATGGAACTTACTCCACTCCGAGAACAAGAATGACAGTTCGTCGATCTCTTTTTGGTTGAGTGGGGTTGGTTTCTTGTCGGCAGCTTGTTCGTCGGCCGAAGGCGTTGAGTAAAATGCTTGAGGTGCTGCCAAGGCATTAAGAAGAGCCGCGAAATCACCTGGCAGGACGTCTGAAACGAACCAGGGAATTGATTTCGGGTGCAGTATGACATTCGTGGCAAGGTTGGCAGAAAGGAGGAATCCAGCTAGGATGAGGTCCACATACAGCTCGAAACCAGCATTATCCAGCACGATATCAACCTGCCTGTACTTCTTCCCATCCACCTTGGCTTTTTTCAGGGTATCGTAGGCAGCCTCCAGATCATTCACGATGATGTTCTTCTCTGAATTTTTCCGTGCTTCCGATCCTTGGAGTTTCTGGATATCCTCGTACGTAAGAGATGTCAGGAGTGACAGATCCGTAGCATTTCCCCACAAACAGATTTCGCACATCTCCATGAAGAGGATCTTCTCTACCTCAGCAATTTCCTTCTCGGACTTCTCGTCTTTGCTCTTCATCTCATTTATCAGCTCGTGGTACCGGCCCGCGAGTTCGATAACGGCTGGGCGCGAGGAGCGGAAGGTGGACATCTTTTGGACAGCAAAGACATCGTAGGACTTCCAGTACTTGGAAAGTGCAAAGGAGGTTGCGATCCGTCTGGTTGACGTTAGCACTTCCGCAGAAGCAAAGCCTTGGAGACTAACCGGTAGAGGTAGCATTCTGCGTAGAGCCAGGGAATATTGAACCAGGAGGGGTTTCCCAATTGCTCCAGCTCCTGATTGTACCCTGCAACATCCGCCTCCCCATCATCCAGCAGAGGCCTGGAATTGTCAGCCCGTTCTTTGCATATCCCGCAACTCATACGTTAACTTCCGATCGTGCTGCAGCTCGTATTTGAGCTTTGCCAGCTCCTCCACGATTCTCTTTCCCTCGTCCCGCTTTGCCTCGTCTGCTGTGTCCGATACGGCCTTGTAAACATCGTCGATTGCTCCAGTCTTTCTCGGTCAGCTCTTTTCTGTTCCTGGAGACTTTCCCCTTACGAGAATGATCGGCCAGCGGTCTCTCGCAGAGATGTATGCAAAGGATGTCTTGTCCGAGGTAGAGGAAACCGCTGGAGTTTCTCGTCAGTTACGTTATGCTCTCGCAGAAAGATCGTAGGCTCACAGGTCTTGGTATCGTACTCCATAATGATGATGCAGCAAAAATCAATTGAAGAAGGCCCGTGGGGGATTGGATACACAATATATGTATGTATCTTGTATGTATCTTGTTTTGAGATGATACATCTGTTTTGAGATGATACATACCGGTATTGTTGATGCCTCGCCATGGAGGGGTCAGAGGGGCAGGCTTTCAATTCTCACGTGACATGATGATTGGGGTCCGCCAAATCAGTAAGTACTTTTACTGTTTCGGTCTTGCTCAGGCTGAAAAGTAGGGATAATAGTGAATCTTAGTGAATCTACTTGTCTCTGGTTATTGTCAGAAAGTGAAGGATCCCAGAAGAGCCAACCTACCGGTACACTGATGCCGATGGAGGACATACTCCATCCACCCTTTGACATCTTCAACACGGGAAATTCTACAACTAATACGTACTGTAGTACGGTAAGTACAATATTACCCCACGTTCTTGGCCCCCGGGTTTCACAAACATAATGTCCGAAGGGAGAGAGGAAGAGAAAGTCCCCAGCCCGACCTGAAAACGTGACTTGGGGTCGAGTGTGATTACGAATACCGGTATCACGAGTATTACGACTACTCCGTACGCCGTATAATCCTTCCACACGTGCCCAGACGGAGAATTGGACGGACGGCAGCAAAAAAGAAGAGACGAAGAAGCCATTCGACAACTAGTTCGCTGCTAAGGTAGGTACCCGATGACGCCCGCAGTCCGTCGGCGGTTAAGCTAGAGTAAATCTGCCCCACGAGGCGTTATTTGTTTTGTTTTGTTTTTCTTTCCTTTTTTTGGGGGGTTGCTTCTGGTCCATGTTTTCTTTTTCCTTTCCTTCTCTCTCGGCATTGCTCGTCTGTACGTGTGGAGAATTCGAGATCCGATAAGCTCGAGTCCTGAGATCGCAATCTGACTGATCTACCTAGGTACCAACTCTTCTCTCGTTCGGCACGACTGCGGGTAGGTAATAATTTTGGGTACGCGCAGCTGGGTCCGGATGTGGCGATCCAGGGAGGGAGGTACCGGTACCGTAATAAGGGAAGGGATAGCATGGCATCATCACGCCTTTGAATTTTCTTTTGTATTAGCGTTTGACGATTGCAAAAGGGGAGGATGGGATGATTGAGTAATACTCTGCCGGATAAGGATGCGGATGCGGATACGAGGGACGAAAGGAAGAGGAAGGATTTGGGCGTGTGGGTAAAGAATTGAAGTCAAGAAAGACAGAGGAGGAGAGAGAGAGAGAGAGAGAGAGAGAGAGGATATGGAAAGAAAAAAGAAAAAAAGTATTACAGCAGTAATCTATCTAGATTCGATGGCGAATCGATGCAGCGCCGGGAGGATTTCTCTTAACCGTTCTGTCGGTTTGTTGACACGGTCGATCATAGTCTGGGCAGTTTGAATCGCCGGACGTGATATTATGGTTTTCGTTTCACCTCCCTCTTCGACTATCGGTATGTAAGGTATGTTTGTAAGTACGAAGTATGTATGTATGTACTACGTATGTATGTATGTATGTATGTATGCCTGGTGGTTAGGACTGCGTTGCCTTGCCTTGCCTTGCCTTGCCCTGCCCGGCCCTGCCCTGCCCTGCCCTGCCCTGCCGTGCCCGTCTTGGTCCTTTATACAGAAAGTCAGATGTCGGCGTCGTTCGTGTCAGTTCGCAAGCCTCCTCTCAAGCTGGGCGTACACCCGAGCCGAGGGATACAGGATGTGTATGTATGCTAAGCACCGACTACATCGAGGCGAAGAAGAAGGTGGCGATGCTGCTGGTGAGGCTGGTGGTGGTGCTGGTGGTGCTGGTGGTGCTGGTGGAGGCCCTGGGCATATCGATAGTATTGATGATTGGGATAGATAGGGTGGTAAATTGCTATCGTGGGTTCAGCAGTGGCAGCCCGGTATCTTCATTCTTCTCGTCGAGTCGAGTCGAGTCGAGCAGCATTCGTTCGTTCGATCGTTCGTCCGTCCCTGGTATCCATCCTTTTCATATTCCATTCCATCTTGGCATCGCATCGCACCGCATCGCATGCAGTATCCGGGTCCCCATTCCACTGCACTCCACTCTGCTTGTCTGCCTCCGATTGCTCGCCTGCCTTCTCGCCTGTTAAACTGCCGACACGAGTCCATTCCCACGCTCCATGCCGATATACCTACATTCCCATTCCCATACTCATTCTCGTCCCCCTTCCCCTTCCCTTCCTCATGCCCACAACCCTCAATACATCCGTGGCACCAAACCCAATTGCGGTGCTGCCAGAGGAGAGAAAGGGACGCCTGAGACTCGCATCCCTGGCCACGAACACGGCCACGACCAAGACCACGACCACGACCACGACCACCGTCTCTCGCTCGCTACTCGTGTATGCGTAACCCGCCGACCGATTCTTTCTTTGATCAAAGGATTGCGGTTCAAGCATCGACGTTGAAAGAAAAAGAGAAAGGAAAAGAAAAAAAAATAAAGGGGAAAATAAAAGGATTGCCGACCTTAACGTCCAGGTCTACACCTCAAGTTCAAGTTCAAAGCAAAAATCAGTCCTCGAGCCGGGCGCCCTTCCCTGCAATCGCGAAACGAACCGACCTGCCTACATACCCATTCCTCCTGCCCACGACACACCAAGAACCATACCCTTCCCATCCAGATTTTGCCTTGCGATAGATACACCAGATAGCCTCATCCATCGCGGCCTTGACAGTCTTTCTGATCCCGGCCAAACTCGACTCGACTCGGCTCGACTCGGCAGCAGAAGCGTTGTTGCGTCTGAGCAAACCCAGTGCGACGGCCGGTCGAAGCCGTACAGAGATCGCGACATTGGCCTGGGGATAGATAGCCTTCGAACATTGCCAGGACGACTGCTCAATCTGACGCTATTGAGGACAACTCAACGGGTCAGAGATACCTCTCCCCCCACCCGCCGTCGTGGCGCGCGAAACCAGCCATGGACTACACTGCATGCAATCTGGTCTACGTTGATCGCACAGCGAGGGAAGACAAGCTGGTGAGCAGAGAAGAAGTGACAGTGGCAGCGTCAACAGATGGGGAAATCAATTCGGATGTCGATGGTTATGCGCTTGTCCGGCCGTCTGGCGCTCTAGATCACAATTTACAAACACTACTTGGTTTCTTCAATGAAGGTATGTCTTGCGACCACCTCCTGTCCATCGGTAGGTATTCTAACCACCCACACACAGTCCATGTCTGCAACTCGGCCAAGTCCTGTATATCCAAACTCTCGGAATTGAACCAATCCTCCATCGTCGATTTGATTCCCACGCTCGTCTTAATCGATATTCCATATGAAGACCAGCTCGCTCGGAGACCCTCGAGGGAGAAACGAACACCATCGCCTTGCTCGAAACAACAGGTCGATGGACTACACGAGGATCCGATAGATCGCGAGGCCTACGGCTTGGATCTCTTGCAGTGGATAGCGTCCGAGATACAGTACCAGAGCCTGTCAAGGCTTGTCGTGCCGGTAGCAGTCGTGTCCATTCCTGAGCAGAATGCCTCGGTCACATCGCGGGGAAGAACAGACTCAAGATCGGAAGCAGAAGGGCAACTGGGCTACACATCTTTCCCTGCAAAGAAACGAGGTGGATTTGGTACCCCGCTCGATCAAACCAGGACCATCAGGTATATGGATCTGGGCGCCGTGGATGTCTTGACGAGTCCTCTGCTGACGGATCGATTGTCGAGTCTGGCAATCCACGCATACCGGGCACATAAGGATGCTCTAAAGGAACATAGGGCATTACTGGAAATGAAGCGAGGAAGGAAACGCTCGTGGGTTGGGGTGGATGATCAGAAGCCCTATGCCTATCTACGTGAAGCCATGGTATCGGGACTGATGGACGGGATCTGCAAGCTTGGGGGGGACGATGAACCTTTTGCCGCGATGAGGATTTCGATCGCTTTTAAGCGTCGCGAGATGGTAGCAGCTGCAGTCGGGTCGTGGCATTTTTCCGCCCACGATTTCACCGACGACGAGCTTCTCCATGCAGCTTTGCTGATGCTGCAGCATACACTTGCCATGCCGGAATTGGAAAAGTGGCGGCTGTCCACCGGTAAGGGAAAGGCGCTTTGGGATTATGTTTCAGATTAATGTGCTGCTTCCCATGCTGACACCCGATACAGAAAATCTTACAGGCTTTCTGGTGGCCAGTCGGTCCGCATACAATGCCTTTGTGCCATATCACAATTTCCGCCACGTCGTCGACGTCCTACAGGCGTGCTTCCACTTTCTTGTCCGACTCGGCCGCTTACCACCGTATCCAGCTTCGAGCGACTCGCCAGCACCTGACCTCTCCCCAATCGCCGCTCTCATACGCCCCTTCGACGCTCTTACGCTTCTCATCACCGCCATCGGCCATGACGTGGGTCATCCTGGTGTCAATAACGCGTTCCTCGTTACGCTTAACGCCCCACTTGCTCAGCTCTACAACGATCGCTCGGTTCTGGAATCCTTCCACTGCGCGGCTTACTCTCAAATCCTCCGGAGACATTGGCCAACGGCTTTCCAAGGGGCGGAGATGAGGCAACTGATGATTAGTTCGATTCTTGCGACCGACATGGGTCTCCATTTCGATTACATGAAGAGATTAGGCTTCTTGCAGGAAAAGTTACATGAGAATGGGGGTACTGATGGTTGGAATGGCAGGTTGCTTGAAGAGCAAAGAACACTGGCTTGTTCCTTGTTGATCAAATGCGCCGATATCAGTAACGTGGTACGTGAACTGAGGCCCCGAGAAGATTCTGGCTAACGAACGCAGGCACGAAAATACGACGTGGCGGCTCAATGGACGATGATACTAACGGATGAATTTTCCCGCCAGGCCGCGATGGAGAGTGACCTCGGGATACCTTCAGCACTTTTTGCGGCGCCCGTGCGCGAGATCATCGAACTTGGGAAGTCCCAGATTGGGTTCATGAACATGTTCGCCATACCTCTTTTCCAAGGAGTCACGGATGTAATGCCGGCAATGGCGTTCTGTGTAGAAGAGCTCCAGCGGAATAAGAGTGGCTGGGAAGGGAAAATCGCAGAGGAGCAAGAAAGGGTGAGAAAGAATAGTGACGACTCGGCTTGGAAGGATGGCAGGTGGTCCCCGCGTTCAATGAGTCCGGCCAAGCCCTCTGATGCCAGCCAGCAGAGGTCAGGTAATTCCATGCTGTCGCCTGACATGGATCTGAGGAAGTCTCTGCTTAGGAAGGGCTCTTTTACAACGAACGCTGTTGCAAAAGATTCAGAAACGCGCCACTCTTCAATCCCGGAGATTTCAATTTCATCTTTGGCCGGGGACTCGACGGATCCATCCTCAACAACAGAAGCCGACTCGGATTCTGGCACCCTGCGGTCTTCAAAACCTCAACTGCAGCTCAGCTTCGGATCATCAGCCAGCGAACCAGAGCTACTTGACGAGTCGGGTGCTGACTCATCACTTGCTGTAAATGGAGAGCCACAAGAAAGAAACGGGATCGTAAAACCCATTCTCGAGACCGGTGCCGAAGTTGTCGATGCCCCCACGCCCTGCGAGCCTAGACCCAAAGAGTCGGAAAAGCAACGGGGTAGCGATGGCACGGGAAGTAGCAACTCGAATGCTGGTGACTGGACCAGCCAGGTAACCAGCGCCACGACTGGCAAGATGCCCCTAAGCCCGTCGACACAAGGAACAAGCATCATGTCCGACTCTGAATCCATCTCCAAACGTGACGACATGAGCTCGTCGAACAGCCAAATTATCACCCCGACAGACACACCAAAGAGAGGCTGCGGTCGTCCATTAAGCAAAGACTCTACGAGGAAGGGGAGCAAGAGCGAGGATGGGGAGGCGAACGAGAATAAGCTTGTGGGGACGGTGATGGAAAAGGAAAGGTTTAGCAAGTTGAGGAAGAAGCCGAGTCGATTTAGGATGAGCTTTTGGAAGAGGAATAAGAGTGCCAGTCCGCCTGTTCCGGCTGGTGGCAAAATTGTGGGTGGAGGGGGTGAGGAGGGCGTAAAAGTCGGGCAATGACAACGACCGAGTGCGCTTTGGAGAAAGTGCAAGGCTGACACATGAACGCTGTGATAGAAGTGGACGATAGACACTTTAATGAGGTGTAGCGATCGATGGACGACGAACGCAACAAGAGGAATGGCAAGGGATGGAGTGAGGTGTAGGATTAGGACCATCGCGCCTTGCGCGAGCTATGTACAAGGCCAGTTATGTCTGGAGGAAAGGACATCACTTGTCCCTTTCTCCGGGTATTCTTGTGGAAAGATGGACAGTATTTATCGGCGCATAGGCAGGCGTTTTCGGCAGTCTCGTCCTGGTTGGGGTGCCGGGGCGTTTCGGATGATCGTGGTTGAATGATAAAGGGGGTTCATGGAACTGGTATTGGTACTGGATGACTGGTCAATGGATCGGATATGGAGCTTGATGCTTGAGGGCCGCATGTTTGTATATGGGCGGCTGCCGATTGTGGCTGCATAGGTTGTGTGGCCGATGCAATGCATAAATGGTTTCGAGGTGGGGAGGGAAAAGGAGAGGAGAGGGAGAAGAGAGCAAAAGGGGAGGGAAAGGCGGATATGTTGGTGTGAATGGAAGGGAACGAATTGCATACATGCATGGCACATAATCCAAAATTAAATGAAATGAAAGTAAGCAAGCAAGCAAGCATCGAGTAAGTGCAAGCACTTGGAAATCTGAAGCCGATATACAAGTAGGCAAGTAAGTAAGTCAACACGCATAATATTGCATTTATGTATGTATGTATGTATGTATGTATGTATGTATGTATGTATGTATATATGTAAATATGCTATACGTAGGTATTTATGCATGCATAGGTAAGATACAAACCAAGTTTATTTACAAGCTCAAAATAACTTCAAAAATGCTGTGGTATACCATTCCCAAAAAAAGAGTTACATATATCTGGGCGTCTTTAATTGCTATCGGGACTCGCTTAATATCTTGACATATAGTTCTAGGATTGGAAACAGCGACAGGCATATCATTCTGTGTATAATAATCATTATATCTTATATGCTTGCTCAAATAGATGCATAAGAAATGGTCTCCTTCTCGGCTCGACTTTGGTACCTCCGCTGAATAGGCGTGTAATTCTGATAGCCTACTGCGGCGACCCTCTTATATTAACCAATCGATATATTTACTATGTATGTATATTGAATCGTTTGCTATAAAGCACTCGACATGGGTCTTGCTTGACTTGACAGCCATATATGATAATGCGTTGAAGCTTGGTCAAACATATTGAAGAGATTGCCATGCTTGTTTTACAAGATCGGATATCTATTAAGCTTACGTGGCTGGTTTTTTCTAATTTGATCGAAAGATCTTGAACATCTGTGACCCAGCAGCTCTTTTTTTTTTCAGGATTTGAAAATTCACGATCTGCGCGCCTGTCCAAGACAGGGCAGCAGAACTCTTTACCTTTGATAGATTATACTTTCTACTACCATAAGCTTTGAATGGTAAATAAAAATCATAACTTTTCAATAGCATGAAATAGCTTATAACTACAAGACGATTTGATTTTATATTCATTATCTGATAGAGTCAATCAAGGCAGAAATATAGAAAGCTGGATTTCGTTTGAGTTTAGAAGAAGTCTAAAAAAAGGAGCGACTTCAGCTTTATCTTTTGTATCTAGGTCTATTAAACACTCGGATTTAAGATTTACGGTTTCAACTGACTACTCCTTTGAACATATAATTGATAAACACCGGCCAATATTGATTTATTTTTTCCCCCGAAGTGTTGACCCTTAGTTTTGGTGTCAAAAGTAGTTTTATGCATTAGCAACTAGTTACCTAATTAGTACTGTATCATGAGAAAAGGAAACACAACCCTGTATCCCTCCCTTCTCGATCCCTGCCTAAAGCTAAGGCCATCTACTACGTATATAAACCATTCTTTACCCCACGAGCACTTGACTGGATGATCTTTCTCCAACATCAATCATGTCATAGCGATATTGAAACCGGAGCAGGAGAGCTACTCAGTAAGTACCTTGGGTGATCACACTTGACAATACAAGATGGCAGAGATCCCCAGCTCCGAGACCAAAAGTCCCTTGGCGAGGTCGAGGTCGAAGCCGAGGCTATACTGTCACCACCACAGTTCAGTTCCAGCCAGCCACTTACCTCTCTATCGTAGAGACGACTCGTTTCGTCGCAGTCCCTTTCGGAATGAAATGCTTTTTTCCCTTCCGGGCAGCTAACTTGATTGCTCTTATTTTGAGATTCTGCCGTGAGACCCAAAATGTCTCGTGACATGGGTCCTCGAAGATCGGACAAGCTCGCAGTATCATTTTCTTGAGTAGTAAAAGCCAAGACGAGGAGAAAAGCCACGAGCAGACTATGCGACAAAGAAGTAATGCACGGCTTGAATACAACACTCAATGTTAATGGGCATCGCCAAAGAAAAACGTAGTTGACGACTCGTGCGGTACTGTATTCAAATTCTCGGCGTCTTTCAGAGGATTTAATTACAAATTAAATTATTAACCACAGGAAGTCTCCGACAACCGATGACCAAATTACTCAATGATTTGGAGGTTGAATTTTGCAAGCCACTTTTGAGTTCTCCTTGAAGCAGTTCTCAATGACCTGCTCACTCCATCCCTGCGAGAGCCGGCAACATATCTTTGGTGGGTTGCTGGCTTCATCGCCTCCTTTCTGGTAGGGCCGACGATATCTCTTTGATTGATTGCTGGCTCTATCGCCTCCTTTCTGGTAGGGCCGACAATGTCTCTTTGG